TTCCAGTCACCTCCTCCCTCCCACCCCGCCCTTCGCCCCGGCTCGTTGACAGGCTTCACCACTGTTAAGTGCTCCGAGACTCTACAGTATTAAGGGCACTATATAAATTCAAGTTGTTGTTGTTGTTGTAACCCTTTCACAAGAGGAATAAAGAGAGGGTTATGGCCCAGGTTTGTGCACATCTAAACACCGAATGAGGCTAATCTCGGTATTTAATATTGAGTTTGAATCAAGTTTTATAAGAACGTCCGAATGACACTAATAAACCTGACAGCTGTTAAACAAGAAGATTACATTGGTATAGAGCCTTTCACGTCAAAACATGAAACCTTTCATGTTGGGAGGACGTCTCAAAGGGCTACGCAGGGCGTACAGTTGAGTGTAGTGACTGTGTTTTAACAATAATAACGCTTGCATTTGATATAGCGCCTTATCACGTCACTCAGACGTCTCATTTAAATGCAACGATTATTAAAGCTCGATCGCAGGGTATATTGTGAGTTGGAGTGATGGTGTAATATTGTGGGGGAACGCCAGTCGATCCCAGTTTTCAATGGACATGGCTGGCGGGGTGGGGGGGGGGAGCAAGTGAGGACTGGGGGGAGCCATATCAAGACTCCAAAGGAACACAGCAATAATAATCATCCTTCTATCCGTCTTTGAGACCTCTGAAAGCTCTTCACAGAACAGACTGTAAAGTGAGTCGGGTATTTTTTTGTGGGCGAAACGTGCGAAACACAGAACCCAGGTCCCATCTGCCTGTTCAGGTGACGATCCCACCTGGCACTGTTCCAAGAGAGAGAGGTGGGGAATGTGTCTCTCGCCCCCGGGGCTCGGGATGGGATGGGATAGGAACACTCCCAATTCGGGGCCAAGTGGATTCAGATTCACTTTCCATTGCCCCCTCTCCCCCCACCACCACCACCACCACCGCACTCCGCATGTTCATATAACCCGCTGGCTAATAGGATTAATCAGCAGAAAAAATTCCCTGTCGTAGACGTCACTGAGAGATGGCAAGAATTATGTCTCGGGGAGTGTGTGTGTGTGCGTGTGTGAGTGTATATGGGGGTGGGGGGGGGGGTGGTGGGGGGAGGGTGAAGAGGGCACTTTGATTCCTGAAAGCAAATAGGATTCTTAAAACCATCTCTGCTGATTGCTTCTCTCTGCAGATTGCACATAGCTTTATATCTGAGAAGGCAATAAAGGGGAACAAACGATCGAATCACTTCACTCAGTGCCACATTAATAAGCATTTAATCGCAGCTTAAACCTCCCCAAACCGAGAGGAATCTGCTTTAATAATAATAATAATCCCTGCCTTTGATATCGCGCCTTATCACTTCGTTGAGACGTCTCAAAGCGCTTCGAAGAATATACTGTAAAGTGAGTCGAATTTTGTGGGCGAAATGCGGAGGCCAATTTTGTACAGCAGTTTCCCCTCCCCAGTTTAATAGCCAGGGTGGGTGGGGGGGTGGGTGGGGGGAGGGATGCGGGGGTGGGGGGGGGGGGGTTTAACCAGATCTCTTTTCATTTAAGAGACACAGGTTCTCAGTGAGCGTCAGTGACCCTTTCGCCTCGTGTTCCAACCAAATGAATTCTATTTGGTTGATATAAGATTCTGGAATGAAGGGACTCGGAGTCGGGCCGGAGGTGGGGGGGGGATTTGGGGGGGGCGTGTGGGAGGGAGTTGCTGCAACTCTCAGCAGCTTGCTATCAGATACTGATGAATAAATCTGTGCGGATATCACAGATGCTGTTTACAAGCATAACGCTGGCTGCCTCGCTCAGTTATAAGGTCAGGGAAAAGAAGGTGGGTTTTTTTTTCGCTTCGAAACGCTGCTCTGGATGAGAATCTCCTCTCTCTCTCCGTGTGCCCAGACAAAAGCCGTTTCCATTACGTTCTAAATAGTTATTGTCAACAAGGTCTCATCTCCCCGCCATGAACCCCACCCCCACCCACCTCCATCCCTCCCCCGCGCTCCCATCCTTTCAGGCGCCCTTTGTTAAAACTTTGCAACGGAAATTTACACGGGAACAGGAGGAGGCCATTCAGCCCCTCGAGCCTGTTCCCGCCATTCTGTTAGATCGTAGCTGATCTGTACTTCAACTCCCAACTACCGGCCTTTGCCCCATATCCCTGGACGCCCTGATCTGACAAACATCTCTCCACCTCGGTCTTGACGATTTGAATGGATTTGTTCTGAACCAAACGACGACAGTTTTTGCATTTCTATTTATTATTTGCATTTATTATTTAGCGACTATCACGAGGGGTGGGGCACGGAGAGCTCTGACAATTAAAGAGAGAAGGGCTGGGGTTGAACGCCGTGTGCTCCGCAGTTAATGTTAATAATAATCCTTGCAACTGATATAGCGTCCTTGAGACGTTTCAAAGCGCTTCACAGTACTTATCGTAAAGTGGAGTGACTGTGCTAACGAGGGGGTAAAGGGAGATGAGAGGTGGGGGGGGCAGGGGAGTCTGGAGCAGAATGGCAATGAAAAGAGAGCGCATAGAAGCTGACGAGTTAGCAATCAGTCACTTTGCTTCCACGCTGACCTGAATCACATCAGCCTCACCTCCAGGGCACAAGGTTATGGGTTCAAAACCTCTCAGTATCAGGACTGACGCTCACAGTCCAGGCTGTCGCTCCAGCTCTGAACCCACCCCACCCCACACCCCCCCAATCCACAGCTCGCCATCTTCGCACAGTCACTACGCCTCACGGTAAAATCCTGCCCTTCGAGACACCTCGACCGCAAGCCACAGGTCGTGGCGGATTGACACGTTCAATTGCGTTGTGAACGGCAGACGATTTCGAACCCGATTTTCTTGGTCGTAAAACTCAAAGCGGAATTTCAGAGGCCCGGCTCCTCCGGCCCCCAGTGGGTGGGGTGGTGGTGGTGGTGGTGGGGGGTCGGGGAATTAATTGGACGCTTTTTCATTTTAAAATTCCTGATGAAAGGCAGCGTTCCAACCACAGACATGGGAGAGAAAACGGCCTTCGGAAAGCGAATCAATTAGAAGCAGCCGAACAGATGGGCATTTCCACGCTTTGGTACCCTGACCATCATTAGTCTCCTCCAGTCTGCTCCATCTCAGTTAACTCGTAACTCGCCCCCTCTCTCACTCCTCTCCGACACAGACAGGTAGCATTTCCCTGAGCCCGAGTCCTGCTGTGCTGCTCATCTGATCACTTGCAGCAAGAGTGACGGTTGAATTGTGTACGACGCTGCGATCACCGACAATAAATAATAATATTGATAACAATGATATGAATCCTTATATTTGTTACAGCGTCTTTCCCGTCGGAAAAAAAATTGGAGGAACACAGTAATAATAATAATAATAATAATAATCCTCGCATTTGATATAGTGCCTTATCACGTCACTGAGACGTCTCAAAGCGCTTCGCAGGATTTTACCGTAAAGTGGAGTTACCCTGTGTTTCCGCAGCCACAAAACACACAGTCACTACACTTTACACTACGTTCTGTGAAGTCCCTTCTCGTTGCGGATAGCGTCCGGGCGAAACCCGTAACGGACACACACTGATGTCCAGGACTTAAGTTTAAAGTCTCAGCCGAAGGACGGAGTCTCTGACAATGGGGAGATTCCCCCTCCACCCACCCACCACCCCCGCAACCCCCCACCCCCCCCACCCCCCCCCCCACCCCCAGCGTGCGCAGCACGGGAGTGCTTTTCCCTCCCTAAATCACCGAGATATTAAAAAAAATATGAAAAATTGGGTGGGAGAAAAATTGCCAATCACCGATCGAATGATCCGGGAAACTGATCACACAGGTTAGTCCGGGTTTGGACGGTTGCACAGCACCATCTCCTGGTCACAGTCGGTTTCCCCTCCGGGTTTGTCTCGTGCTCGGCCGGGCGGGCGTCCTGACACACACACGCGCGCGGAAACCCATCACCGTTGCTTTAAGAGTCTCCAAACCAAGCTGGGAATTCCCTGCCTCCCACCCTCGGGAATCCCAGAGGTAGGTTGCAGCCGGTTTACGATCGTCAAACCGTTTATCGTGGAGTCCTGTAGCTCAGCGGTTAGAGCACTCCACACACCTGATAATAATCCCTCCAAAACACAAAACAATAATAAAAATTGGTCATTTTCAATCCACGACTGTTTGTGGGACACTCATTGCTGTGCCACATTTGCTGCCGCGTTCGCCCACAAATATACAGTCAATTCACTTTACAGTATATTCTGCGAAGCGCTTTGGGACGTCGAGAAGACGCGAAAAGCGCTATATCAAATGCAAGGATTATTATTATTATTAATCCCTCGGCTCTCTCTCTCTCTCTCGCGCAAACACGGCAGCATTTCTCAACGATAAACTTACCGACAGAATTTATATTATTTTTTTAAAAAAAAGTGTTTTAAAGGCACGTTTTAACCTAGGGGCCCAGAGAACAAGCTCTTTGAGACGCTACTCTACGTGGAGGGCGCTATATAAGTGCGAGTTGTGGTTATTTACACGAGGGAACTTCACAGAGGTGTTTAATTACACTGATGTTAATCTGAGTTGTGGGGGCTTTGATACGAGGGGAGGAGGAGATTCCCAACAGGATCTGAGCGGAGAATCCATCCAGCAAGAGGAAGTTGGTCACTTTGGGAGCGTCGCTCGGAGATTAGATTCCGTCGGAACTAATCAGTTCCCCTGAGCGATATTGCACTGAAACGAGGAGCTTGGCTGTGTGTGTTAGCGTGAGTGTGCGTACGCGTGTATACATGTACGTATGTGTGTGTGTGTATATGTGAGTGCACGCACAGGTGTGCGCATGTGTATGTGTGTGTAGGTGTGGGTGTGCGTGTGGTGGTTTACCTTAGTTTAAAGGTAAACTTTACGTTGATAAAACAGCCGGTTATAAAAATCCATGTGTCAGCCTGACAGTCCCACATCGGGTGAGTAACAGGTCTTGACGAAGAGGTTTCGGCAACTCTTGGGGTTTTCCTCCCCCACTCACACCACCCCCAACCCCCGCCCTTCATCCCCAAGGGTCTCTCTACAGTAAATCCAGGTCTCTCAGGCTCTGTACCAGCACCGTGTCTCTGACATCCATAAAGACCTTCCTGATGTTCTCTGTGTCCGTGGCACAGGTGAAGTGTGTGTAGATGGTTCGCCGCAGCTCGTTCTCTCTCAGGTACATCTGCAGGATAAAATCCATGGCATCCGTGGCGTTTTTCTTGGAATTCTTGGAATCTGGAGCCAGAGAGAGAAAGAGAGAGAGCGAGAGTGTGTGAGTGAGAGGGGGGAGGGAGAGTGAATGTGTGTGTGAGACGGGAGAGAGTGTGTGAGAGTGTGAAAGAAAGAGAGAGAGGAGTGTGTATGTGTGTGTGTGTGAGGGAAGAGTGAAAGTGTAAGAGAATGTGAGAGAACGTGAGTGTGAGAGAGGGGAGAGAGTGAGAGTGTGTGAGAGAGAAAATGAGTGTGAAAGAGAGGGTGCGAGAGAGAGAGTCTGAGGGAGGGGAGGTCAGAGGTTTCACACTCACTGTGGAATTCGGGGAAATAATCTCCTAAATGGGAGGTGAGGATCTTCTCCTCCAGGATGTCCTTTTTGTTCAGGAAGAGGATCATTGACGAGTTCTCGAACCAACTGGACTTCAGGATGAAGTGGAACAGAGCCAAGCTCTCCTTCATCCGGTTCTAGAACACAAACCATTGGCACATCGTTTGGTCATCGATTCCCTTTCACGTTGGACTATTTTCCCTGATTTAAGACACACACAAAATCCCTTCCCCCCCCTCAACTCTCTCCCCCACCCCAACTCTCTCCTCATCCCCCCCAAAAAAACTCTCCATCTTCTCACCTCGTTCTCACTCTCCTCCAGGACCTGATCGTATTCGCTGAGTGACGCCAGGAATATGACCGAGGTGACGTTCTCAAAGCAGTGGATCCATTTCCTTCTCTCGGACTTCTGTCCACCCACGTCCACTATCCTAACCAGCAAACACAGCCCTGTTACATTCCTCTCCTCAGGACAGACACATCACTCCGAACAACCAGGAAGAAAAAATCACAAGCCCCAACCCCCACCCCCAAAAACAATAACAACTCGGGAGTCTTTCCCAATAATACTGCTATTAATTATTATTATTAATATTAATAATAATAACATGCAATTATTTGGTGAATCTGTGCTACTCTGATGAGTCCCATGAAACATATCTTGGCTCCAATGCTCATATCGCTCTCTCCGTCCATTTGAATAAATGCCAGGTATATCAAATGCAAGTATTATTATTATTATTACCTTAATGAAATTTTGTCCATGTTGAACGAATACTCGTTGATCCCCGTCGTGGGAACACGTACCCTCAGGACATCTTGGTCAGAAGGGATGTAATCACTGGCTGAGATACGGTTAATGCTATTCAGGTAACTGGGAGAGAGAGAGAGAGAGGGGGGGGGGGGGGAGAAAGAGGCAGGGGGGTCAGTGTCAATAATAATAAATAATAGTCCTTGCAATTGATTATAGCGGCTTATCAGGTCTTCGAGACGTCTCAATCCATGTTTCTCTGGGCCGTCACCAGAGGGCGGACTGCTGGAGCTTGTCCCCGTTCGCAGTAAAGTAGCTTTGCTGGAGGTTCAATCAAATAATATCCCAACAACAATCCTTGTATCTGATGCAGGGCCTCTAACTTGGGAAACACCTCAAAGTGCTCCCCAGCCGGTAACAACCACGACCGTGACAGCACAGCCCAGGCCAAATGCCCGTGTTGGCTGCACGCAGAGAGCGATGGAAGTGCTTACTAGGTAGTGGAGTCTAGGAGCTGGAACTCTCTCCGTCTCTCGTAACAGGCTCTTATCCCGGGATCGCTCCATAAGCCTCTGATCGCGTCCGTGAAGTGCGTCTCAAGGGTGTTGACCTTATAAGCTTCGATGTCCTTGATGAGCTCAGCGTTGCGCTGTAACAGAGAGAACAGGTTTGTCAGGGCAACAGGAACCATCCCTTTTTAAAGGCAGAATTCAGAACCGCAGCCACAAAGTCGAAGAATCTTCCAAAGTGTCGAACAGTATTTGGCAGATCAAAGGTTAACAGAAACAGCCTGTTTCCACTGGTTGGGGATTGCATTACCGGGTGGGTTGGGAGGGTGGGGGGGCACAAGTATAGTGACTGGGGGAGGATCTAAAAGAGAATTTATTGCGGAACTACTACACTCAGAGGTTAGTGAGATTGTGGAATTTATAATAATTATAATTATCCTTGCAGATGACCCAGCGCCTTATCACGTCTTCAAGACGCCTCATAGCGCTTCACAGGATGTGAGTTGACTGTGTGTGTGGTGGGCGATGGTGGAATCAGACAGTGTAGATGCTTTCAAGAGGGAGATTGACCTTCAAATGAGGGAGAGGGGAGTTGGAGGATGCGGGAGGGAGGAAGGAATGGGTGAAGCCTCATATGGTGTAAACACCAGTACGGATTGGATTGGTTGGGTCGAGTGGTCCGTTTCTGTGCTGCTATATTTTGGGTAAATGGTTGTAAATCACCCTTAGGCTGGGGCTTGAGTCTTCGATATATTATATATATATATATGCATATATATAATACACATACACATGCTAATCCCAATTCAATTCAACACACCCTCTCACACACTCCATTACATTGCTTCTCCACTTTCCTTCCAATTGCAGTTTTGTACGTTCTGTTGCCACAAGTTTCTTTTTAGCTCCTTTACCCCCGTTCTCGCTGGGGTTGGTGGGGTAGGGGTGGGGGTGGGGGGAGGAGAAACGGTGTAGTTTAGCTTTGGGGGGGGGGAAACGATTATTATCGGGAGTGGAATGGCCATGTTCTCCGCTGTGCTTTTGTCATAGCGGCCGGGCGGGTTTTAAGACAAACTAAATAGGCTGTTGCTCGCGGGACCCAAGGCGATTAGCAGTGTTAAGTTACCCTTTTGGGACTGTCTGGCAGCAGAATTATTTGATCGGAGCAAGCATTTTTGTGTCAAATGGGTAATAAACAAGACCATTTGTCTCCTGTTCCTAGTCTTTATAGAAACAATTTAGTAAATTGGTTCTGGGAAATCCATCTTGAACAAAACAATACCAGGGTGTCACAGTGATATTTTCCAACCACACCTTCACCCTCACCCTCATCCCCACCTCTCCTCAGCCCCACCCTCACCCCCAGCCCATTCCCACACAGATTCCCAGCAGCTTAATATGGATTCACAGAGTTCATCCAGAACAGAATAATAATAATCCCTGTATTTGTTGCAGCGCCTTATCACATCTTCAAGACGTCTCAAAACGCTTCACAGGATTCACACTGTGAAGTGAATTGACTTGTGTATTTTGTGGGTGAAATACCTTTGGGGGCCCTTTTCACTCCTTACGCCTATCCACGTTTGCTCTCAGTAAGATCTCGTTTAGTCCCACTCCCCAGGTATTTCTCCATTTTCTATGATGGTTTGTAGGACGCTGCTGAGCGCAATTGGCTGCCGGGTTTCACCCCCAAAAATACACACTCACTGCACTTTACAGTATATTCTGCGAAAGGCTTTGAGACAACGTGATAAGGCGCTATATCAAATGCAAGGATTATTATTAGAATAATAATAATTGTATTTAACTAAGCGATTGCCGGTTCAGCTTCAATTGTCCTGCAGTGGCTGTGACCCCAGGCGCTCACCTTACTGTGCTGGTGTTGGTAAGGAATGTTCAGGCTGTCCATGGCTCTGGTCAGCGACTGCACGGCTGTGACTATGTTCTGATTAACCAGCTTCGCGAAGGCTTTCCGTTCTTCCTCCGAGTATCCGGACCCGTGGATGATCCGCATCTGTTTGATAAACGTGCTTTTCCCGCTCTCTCCGGTACCTGTTTTCGACGTCACACAAAAAGGGGTTACACACGATATTCGATGGTCTACTATTATCCAGTGTAACCCTGTTACAAGGCGCCCCATCCCCCTCTTATAATACCATGTGGAGGGAGGGGGGGAGGGGGGGGACTAGACCCACAGTTGGTTTGGGACTTCCAGGTCATCAGGTCAGCACAAACATCGCTTCCTGGGTGCTGTGCTGCGTACGATCGCTCAGGGAGTGATGACCCCACGACCAGGAAGTCGCCATGTTGTACGGCTCCCACACCTGACCAGGCTGAGCTGAGAGGCTCCGAAATCATCACAGTATCTCAACGTTCCCTTGGATAATAAGACTTGCATTTGATACGGCGCCTTTTAGCACGTCTTCGAGACGGAATATACTGTAAAACGCAGTCACTGTGTATTACAGTCAATCGCGTTAAAGGGTGTTATAGAGAGAAGAGAGAATAATACTAAAGAGAGAGAAAAACAAGAACTGTTACATTCTCAGTGCAAATCAGCGAGAGCATCTGAAGGCTGGCCAAAATCCCCGGGAAATCATTTTTTCGGGATTTGTAATAATTAACTGCGGGAATTTGGGTGGACTTCAAGGCCGTTGCCAGCCGTCAACACCGAGGCCAGTGACAAATTCTTCGCTGGTAACAGGATAAACCACACGACCCGGGTCATCTCTGCATGACTCAGAGGGAATGATCTCACTCTGCCCAGAGTTTCACCCACAGCATCGCACAGGCTGGAGAACTTTCTCTCTTTCTGACGTTGAACGCTTCCTCAAATCCTACCCTCTTCCTCAAATTACATCTTCGGCCACCTCTCCTACGCTCAGGGTCAAATCCCATCACTGAGAAGCGCTTTGAAACGTTACCCTAACGTGATAGGCATTGTATAAATACAAGTTGTTGTTGGTCCTGTATTGGGTGCTGCATGCAGTCACTTCTCTGGACAACAACTCCCTGACCAGCACGTTTCGCCCGCGAAATATCCAATCAATCCACTTTATAGTATATTCCGTGAAGCGCTTTGAGACATCTCAACGTCATGGTAATGCGCTGTATCAAATGCAAAGATTATAATTACTTTTCTTGGAGGGGGAAGGGGGGTGTGGGGAGGAGGGGAGAGTAGAATGGGGGTGGTGCGGGGGGAAGGCTTTATTTTCCTTCAGATGAGATGTTAAATCGAGGTCCTGTTTGTGGTTGTTCCCCCGCTATCTTGACCGGCAATCCTCCTGATAAAGTGGATCGGTCACTTCATGGCTGTTTGCGAGGCATTGCTTAGCACAAAGTGGCTGTTGCATTTGCCGACAAAATACACAGTCGCTACACTAGGGCCAAGTTCCAAGGATTACAGTTAGGTCACGAAGGCGGGAAGATTTTTTTGCTCACTCGTCTTAATGATTATTGTGATAATTATCATGCGTGATGGCTAACGTGACAGTTACCACAATGCACGTCGTAAATTCCCATCGTGTCCAGTCTGGGACGTGGCTCACGTTGCTAAGGAAACCAAACACATGGCACCTTAGTAGACACAGAGACACACAATCTCTCTACAGGAAACAGAAATCAGTAATCGTTTCAGGTAGCGGGAAACCACATGACCCAAAAGCATGGCGTTAATTATAACAACAGCCTTGCGGTTCGAATATAATGTCCACAAAAGGCTCCATTAAACTGGCTGACCTGATTCGTATCACTGACAGCCTCAATGCACGGGCTATTAGCCAATTAATTGTTTTGGGTGGTGGTGGTGGGGGGGGGGGGTGTGCGGACACAGGGGGGAAACCCATCACTGTGCTTAGGAATATCCAAACCAGGCTGAGAATTCCACGCAACCCACCGACGTCCAAGAGAGTGCAAGAGGTAGACTGTTGGAATGGAATGCGTACTCTCGCTCGCTCTCTCTCCGCCCCTCCTCCCCGGAGGGAGGGACGCGCCCTGCTTTACCTAATTCCGGAAAGTAATAGGCGCAGGTTGGCAAGAGCCAAGGTTAGACAGTCAACTCCCCCTGAGAGGGGAAATTGGTCACGCAATCCACGACTGTTTGTGGGACGCTGCTGTGCGCAATTGACTGCCGCAAAACACAGCATACTTTACAGCATATTCTCGAAGATATATTAAATGCAAGGATTATTATTATTATTATTATCATTATGTGCTGAGCTTCCTAAGTCAAGCTGCCACTAGGGGACACCCTCCTCATTTTCCCCCCTTCCATAGAAAGCCATGAACTTGTAACAACTTGCATATATAGCGTGGGTTAAGGGGGTCATGTCTCGGAACGAGAAAAAGGGGCCCAAAGTTTGAAATGTTCTAGCCTCGCCTGGAGTCCCCAAGCAACCCCTGGAATTGGCTGTTGAATAAAAATGTGACCAAACGAGTCTTTAGGGCCTCTGGCTATAGCTTCGCGTCTGAGTCACAACAGTCAGCATTGCAGAGATTCTTCTACCAGTTGGGTGTTCAGACATAAAATCGTAGAATCTTACAGCAAAGAAGGAGGCCATTCGGTCCATCGTGCCCATGACCGCTCTTTGAAAGAGCTATCCAACCAGTCCGACTCACCCGCTCTTACCCCATAGCACTACAAATTTTTCCTTTTCAGGTCCAGATCCAAATCGCCCACAAAATACACAGTCAATTCACTTTACAGTATATTAGTCGCGGATTGAGTGGCAACATTTTTTTTGCTATGGAAAGTCACTTAAAATGGTCGAGAGCAAGACCTGGGGGCCAGAAGCGTGATCAACATTCCTGTCAGGTAAAGCATTCCACATTCCCCCGGGGTATTGGGTTACTGTCCTGTCCTGCGGGTGAGAATGTCTCCCGGACAAGCCAGTTCTTGCTAGAGATGAGGAATGTGATCTGGAAATCTGACCTCGCTTGAGCAGAGAGTTCGAGCAGGTCACACCAGCACTCGCTCACTTCACACCCTTTTAACAAATAGAGCAAAAAAGGTCTCCTTGAAAACGGTCCTCCTCCTCTCCGCCATCTACCTCCCTCTTCCCCTGCCCCTCTCCCCTCCCTGTCTCCTCTCCCCTCCCACACTTCACGACTATCTTTGGGACTAACCGAACATCTTGTGATAAACTGGTGGGGGTTGGCGGGGTGGGGTGAAATGGGTCCTTGGCCTTATTCGTTAAATCGGGGTATCAAGGGATATGGGGCAAGGGCGGGTAATTGGAGTTGAGGTACAGATCAGCCACGATCTTATAGAATGGCAGAACAGGCTCAAGAGGCTGAATGGCCTCCTCCTGTTCCTACGTTCCAATGTTCCTAAACAGAGGCTCAGTGATTTCATTCCCTTTGTCCCACAGTCATTCTGCGAGTCAGTCAGGAGGCCCACCCCAGTGTGTTGAGACACAGATGTTCTGGGTTTGCTGGCCAGCACTATGTCAGCCGAGTTTTAAAGGGTCTTTCAGCCCAACGCCCTGAGGAGTCTCAGCTTAAATTCCATCACGTCAGCCTGTTGGACAAGTCAGAAACTGCTGAAAATGCCAGATCTCCATGAGATACAGGATTGTTATGGTCTGGGTGTCAGTGTTTGTATCAGATGAGGGGGGGAGGAGGGACAGGAGCTTTGTGTTCAAACCCCTAAAGGTTTAAGACTGGGCAGCTGTAAGGTTATATCTGTTCATAGATCACATCAGAAGCAAACTATCCCCAATCACCCACCCTCGCTGCCTCATTCATCTGCTTTCTTCATATCAAAATGCAACGATCAGTAGTTACTGGAAACCACTCTGAGATGTTTTCCTGTATAATTTGCTAAATTTGTTTGCAGGAGTGTTTTCCAGTAACTACTGATCGTTGCATTTTGATATGAAGAGGGAGGCATCCTAAAATGGAAAAAAAACACGCTCCCTGATTGGCATGGAGCTGGCTGATCTCATCTGTTGTCGGGGGGGGGGGGGGGGGGGGGGGGGGGAGACAAAGAACCATGATTGACTCTATAGGAACAAGAGGAGGCCATTCAGCCCCTCAAGCCTGTTCCATCATTCTATTGGATCTATTGTGGAGTCCTGTAGCTCTCGCTTTGCAAGTGAGAGACCTGAGTTCAATTCCAGGCAGAGGGCGAAACCTTGGGCAAGTTTCCTTACTCCACACAGAGCCTAATAATATTCCCTCCAAAAACTAAAAACAATAATAAATTGGTCATTTTCAATCCATGACTGTTTGTGGGACATTGCTGTGCGCAATTGGCTGCGGCGTTCGCCCACAAATATACAGTCAATTCACTTTACAGTGTGTTCTGTGAAGCGCTTTGGGACGTCCTCCCGACGTGAAAAGCGCTATATCAAATGCGAGGATTATTATAATTATTATTATTATTATTATCATGGCTGATCCTCAATTCCAGAAAGCGAGAGACAGGTCCGGGTTTAATGTCACACCTGAAGGACGGCATCTCTGACAACGCAAAGCTCCCCCCAGTACTGGAGCATCAGCCCAGACAAGGGGCTCAAAGTCCTGACATAGGGGCTTGTAACCCACAACCGCCAGATCTTACATCTGAAATATAAAAGTCTCCCAGTGTGTAAAACAATTCCCCCACCGCCCCCGAGGGTGTAATCAGGTGTAGTGACTGAGAGTCTATTCCAGGCTGACTCTCCAATGAATGTCCAAGGTGCTGCCTCTCAGATGTGACCTTAAACCCAGGGCTCGTTTGTCTGCTCCTCGGGATGTTGAAGATTCTTGGTGCTATTCCAAGAGTGCTATTGGCGAAAGAGTGCTACCATCCGAGCCAAGGCCTTCCTTTTAAACCGTACCTTCGGTCATCTTCCTTTCTCCCTCCTCCCTCTCCTCATCCCACCCGACCCTTCAACTCTCCGACCCTCTCTTTCTGATCCCAACCCGCAGTTCGGGTGCAAACCCCTCATCACCCAACGCCTTGGGACGTCATCCCGATGTGAAAGGCCACACCGCGAGGGCGCCTCCTTGTGGCCAACAAGAGACACTGCAACATTCCCTCAACCCATCTCCTTCCCCCCCCCACCCACCCTCTCCCTCCCCTCCAGCCCCACCGCCAAATAGGACGAAAATCTTTCTTTATGACTTGGAGAGCGAAGGAGATGAAGAGACCGACAATTTCGAATTCCGATCAAACCGCTCGGATGTTTTTTAAGAACGAAAAATTTTAAGAACATTACTTTTCCAAACCTTTCCAACATGTAATAATAGTAATAATGAAATAATAATAATCCTTGCAATGGTTTAAAAAAAAATTATTTGACTTCCACCCCTGGATTAGATAATTGGGAATATTCAAGAGGTTATGTTATTGATTAAGAATCGGTTGAGGATGGTTATTGGGAGAAATTAGTATTATAAGAGAGGTTATTATTATTAGGAGAGATTATTATTAATAATTTAAAGCCACACACACCATAACACACCTTTCTGTATGTACTTACCCAACAATAAGAGCTTCAACTCTTTCTTCCGTCGCTTTTTCTGCTGTTTCAGAGCCTGGTTGATCTTTTTGTTGATGTCAAAGGCGACTTTCTCGTCTTCTGATAAGCACCAAAAGCATCGATGGCAACAAAGAGTGTGCCAACAACTGCAGGGCATCTCCAGAGACACACAGGGACAGAGACACACAGGGACACACAGGGACACACAGGGACAGAGACACACAGGGACACACAGGGACACACAGGGACACACAGGCACAGGGACACACAGGCACAGGGACACACAGGGACACACAGGGACACACAGGGACACACAGGGACAGGGACACACAGGGACACACAGGGACACAGAGACACACAGGGACACACAGGGACAGAGACACACAGGGACACACAGGGACAGAGACACACAGGGACACACAGGGACACACAGAGACACACAGGGACACACAGAGACACAGAGGGACAGAGACACACAGGGACACACAGGGACACACAGAGACACACAGGGACACACAGGGACAGAGACACACAGGGACACACAGAAACGCACAGAGGGACAGAGACACACAGAGACACAGAGATACAGAGGGACGGAGACACAGAGGGACAGAGACACACAGGGACACACAGAGGGACAGAGACACACAGGGACACACAGAGACACAGAGGGACAGAGACACACAGGGACAGAGACACACAGAGAGACAGAGACAAACACACAGACACACACAGAGGGACAGAGACACACAGAGAGATAGAGACAAACACAGAGATATAGAGACAAACAGAGAGACAGAGACAAACACAGAGAGACAGAGACAGAGACACACAGAGAGACAGAGACACACAGAGAGACAGAGACACACAGAGACACACTCACAGACACAGATCAGTGGGACTCAGCCCTCGACTGCAACAGATGAAAACTGGTGAATCCCGAAATCGCCCAAAGCGCAGTGACCCACACAAACCCTCAACTGACCATCATCCACTCTCCCCCTCTCTGTGTGTGTGTGTGTGTGAGTGTATCTCTCGATTCCAACAGCCCAGCAAAAAAAAAGGGGAGAGAAAAAAAAGGAGAGAGAGAGAGAAGGAGGGAGGGAGAGGGAGGGGGAGAGGGAGAGGGAGAGGGAGGGGGAGAGCTACAATCAAAAAAAAGTTTCACAAGGAGTGAAGTGAAATGCCAAGAATCCCTGTCCCACCCCTCGCATGAAATCATTGCTAATCTGCAGGTTTAGGTATGAAAGGCGTCAAGTGCCACAACCAATGGATTTGTTATTCACCCACATCCCCCCCACACCCACCCCCACACCCCCCACACCCCCCACACACCCCCCACACTTCCCTTCACTCCGATTTCAAAATAAATATCACCAGTTCGCCATGAAACTCATCCCTTGCCTTTTTTTTCTTTGGCTTTACCTTGCCATTACACAGTCACTACACCTCGCAGGGACTCTCTGTGAAGATCTTTTGAGTGTTGTGGGCACTTTATTCAAAGCCCACTTTATTTTTTTTAAAAAAAAGTAACTTTATGGTAACCAAAGTGAGTGGTAATTATAATAATGATAACCCTTTTAGCATTTTGGCATAATGCCTTTTATGTCGGGACGATGTCTCAAAGTGCTTCACAAAAAAACCCCACAGGATTCGCTGTACAGTGTAGTGACTGTGTATTTTGTAGGTGAACGCTGGTAGCTTTTGTGAGCAAATGAGAAGAGCCTCAACTTGTTTTCACCAATGTTTGCTAATCAGTTGAAATGTTTGTATCCCCTCTGGGAGGTGACTTGAGCTGTTGTGACTTGAGCTCCTGGTCTTGTCCGACACACACCAAGTGTAGCGTCAGACTATATTTTGTAGGCGAAATGCAGCAGCCCATTTGCACACAGCAATGTCCCACAAACCGCCGTGGAGTGAGTGACCAGTTTTATACTTTGGTGGCGGATTGTTGGCCAGGACACCGGGAGAGGGAGAAACTCGCCTCTCATTTAGTATAGCGCCGCGAGATCTTTAACATCCACCTGAACAGGCAGACGGGACCTCAGTTTAACGTCTCATCTGAAGAATGGCACCGCCGACGAGGCAGCAATACACCCCCAGTGCTCAGCTTAGACTGTGGGAGTCTTAAGTCTTGACGTGGGAACTAATACATAACAATACAGGGCAATGTCATTCTCTCCTTGAGTTTGAAGTGTGTATTTGAACACACAACAAAGGGAATCTGAAGGTTAATTCTTCTCCAAGGTCGGGCTTCTTTCGTTGCTCCGGGGTGAGAGGGCATCACCATACATCAACTGAGTAGAGAGCGAGATCACGCATCCTCTTGTAAAAACACATATATATATTATTACCGTATAAAACGTACTAAAACGCCTGCCACAGTCAACAGCAAACATTGATGAGCCAAGCCATGCTCCACCTACGTTGGTAGCATTCTTGTTCCTCGAGTCAGAAGGATGTCCCACATTGGGACTTTAAGCTCACACTCCAGGCTGATGGACGTTTCGTTGCTGGAGGTGCTTTCGACGAGATGTTTAGAATCCAAGGTTAACGTCTGCGCTGAATACGTTGATACAAGAAGGTGCAGTTGGCAATGAAACGAGGAGTTGGAGTCAGAGCCCTCTGGCATGGGTTTACCTGCCGTTTCCCAGCTACAATGGATAACTACATATTCGTCTACAAATTCCTTCACACCAGCCGCCTCCCCTCTCCGACGTGCTCACTTCCCACTCCGCCACCCGCTCCTCTCAGCTGGCTCTGGTCTCCTGCTCGTTCCTTCATCCCCTCCCCCATCAACTCTCTCGCTCAATCCCTCCTCCTCACCCCCTTCTTTCACCTTTTTCGGATCACTCCTGAAGAACTTCCTCTTCGATCATGTGAACGTTATCTCCCCCCCGCCTCCCCCGGTTTGGTGTCAGGCTCTGCCATTGTTAAGGCACTTCGAGACTTTGCCCTGTATAAAGGGCACTGTGTAAATGCAAGTTGTTTTCACCTGTTATTGTTGTTTTAATTTTCCACCTTCTCTCACGCACTCTTGTTAAAGCACGTCCCGGTTATTGTTTCCCACGGCAGAAATTTTGAGGATCTGTATAAAATCTGTGGGCTGTTATATCAGGAAGTGAGTTCCTGTGTGACATGACTGAACGTGTAAAAGAGAACATGCAATGTCCCACACAAGGGCAGGGAATGATCTGGAGAGTTTTAGGCTGATTTTCATGGTCAGAAGAGTAGAGGAGATTGCGGAGGTAGTGGTGATATAGGGTTAGGTTTAGGTGATATAGGAGAAGCCAGTATCAAAGTAGTATGATTCCAATACAGTACTTTGGGAATTCGCTGTATTGTTGGAGGTACCAGAGATTTTAATCCAAGCTCCCCAGCTGGGTCTGTTCAGGTGGACGTTAAAGATCCCATGGCGCTATTCTAAGAGAGAAGAGAGTTTCTCTCTCCTGGTGTTCTGGCCGACAATCCCTAGATAAAATGGGTCATTCACTTCACGGCTGACTGTGGGACATTGCTGTGTACAAATTGGCTGCCGCATTTTGCCCACAAATGCAGTCAGTACACTCCAGAATAAAATCGTGTGAAGCGCTTTGAGAGGTCCTAGGGTACCACGTGATAAGGCACAGTGTCAAATGCAATTAATTCATTTTTATTAAGTATTGTATTTTCCACAGGGGTCCTAATTTGGCAGCGCATTTACAAGCAAAAAAAAAAGTGTATCCCATGCTTGTGTCTTTGTGGCTTGGATCAGAATGGGTCGGTTCCAGTCATTCTGTGAAGGCAGTAACAGTTCATGTGTGGCTCTGTTCAGATCCCAAACAAACCTGGCTCACATCCTCCAACAGTGGCTGTGGCCAGGAGAAAGAATCTTACTTGACAATTTGATGTTAATTAGACAACATATTAGTCTTTGCAGTTGAATAAACAGAAGGAGACAAGAGAAAGCGAGGCGATGTCTGCTGATTCTCACAAGAAATCTGGAGCGGGAGAGCAAGCTACAACTCGCTATAACATTTCTGAGTTATCTAAGCAAAAAAAAAAAAGACACAAAGCTACGGGCAGCTGCTTTCATTTACTTGCCGAATAATTCTTGCATTTAATAAGGCGAGCATCGCCAAATGTAATGATGATTACGCCTTTTCTTTGTGCCTGGTTTGTGAAGAATGAGCAGAGACCCATTAATTTTCTGACTATTTTCACGCCCTGCGCTTTTCTCCTTGGCCGTTTGCCTAACCCATGGAAAGCCAGAAAGCCTGCCCATTCCCATTCTTATTCTGTAAGTAGCTCAGGGCTATTCTCTCCTCAATTCATCCTCTTTCGCTAGCTCGCTAACTAGCTACACTACGAGTTAGCCACCTAGCCAGCTTTCAACCTATTAACACCATATCAACCTGTCCAATTCCTCTGCTCGGCCCAGCCTGCCCCACCATTGTCGGTCAGGCCTTCAGCTTCTCTGCCCCCACCCCCTCTGGGGGTGCCATTTCAGACCCCTTCCGACTCGCTCCCTCCCTCCCTTGCCTCCTTCAAGGCCCGTCTCAAGAATTAAAGAGTTACCCTAAAAATAATTCTAGGACATAGGAAGGGAAGGAGCTTGATAAGCATACTGGCTCCTCCTTCCGATGTCCCTGTGTTAGAATTATTAAACCGCTAAAAGTACTTAATTAGTGGCAAAAGAAAGGACATTAAATTGTAGGTGGCACAACCCTTCCGCACAGGTTAGAAACACTTTATCCCCTATGCAGAACTTTCAAGAAGAAAAACAAAGCGATGACCGCAGTGGATTGGGTTTCCACCGATTCATGCTTTTTCTGCTCAAAGGAAACAGGCCGAAAAGGGACAGACATGTCGCGAGTTAAGGAAGCTGATGCTTGCATTATTAGGGTTTTTGTGGCACAAACTGGTTGAGCAGGATACGAGAGGGCTTATACCTGATTGGTTTTATTTTATGCTCTTAACTTCCTTGTGTGGGAACACCTCCAGCTTGGCCTCCTGTGCTTCCTCTCTGTGACCTACTTAAGGCATGTGCAGTACTCATAAGGCGCGGAGATTGAGTATCTTTCGCACCGAATGCTGCCTATCCATCTATCCACATTTTTAAGGCCAAGGTGGATAGCTGTTAGGTCAGGGTATCAAGGGATATGCGGCAGAGGCGGGTAATTGGAGTTAAGGTACAGATCAGCCATGATCTTATAGAATGGCAGTTCAGGCTGGAGGGGCTAAATGGCCTCCTCCTATGTTCCTATCAGCAACCGCATTTGGGTCTTCGCCATTCACACGCACTTGGCTTGTTTCTTGGGTACGTGCTGTGTGTTCCAAAACAAATACAAGAAACCAAGACTAACTCGCCTCTCCTTGGCAATCGTGGCATTTCAAGTGGGGGAGAGGGTAATAATTCGGTCACTCAATACCCGACTCTTTGTGGGACACGACCGTGCACAACTGGCTGCTGTGTTCCTCCCCAAAAAATATAAAGGCAATTCACTTTAAAGTGTATTCTGTGAAGCACTATGAGACTTCTCGAAGACATGATAAGGTGCTACATCAAAGGCAAGGATTATTATTATTATTATTAATGGCTTTTGATCAGTTGGATCGTCTCATTAAGTTTCTTTCTCCCAAATTGTTCCAGTTTTTTTAAAAAACGTAACAAACATCCTTATCTGCCAGGGCCCTAAATACTAATGTTCAAGGACTTTCCCCGCAACAGCTGTTTAGCTTGAAAACAATCATCTGTCGTTGCAAGGAACGCCTCAAATAATGCACTAAACACTCTTTTCTCAAGTGGGTCCTTTCAGCACTTAGGGAAAATGTTCTAATATCTAGAGCCGGTATCACATGAATTTTCACTAAACAAGACTCAGGGGAAATCATATTTCATCTCGATGAATCATAGCATGTTTTGGCACTGAATGGGGCTGTTTGGCCAATCTCAGCTGTGACATCTCTGAAAGATCTCTGAATTTACTCTTACCAAGATCCTCAAGGGTGTTACGTATCTTAGCCAAATCCTAATTTAAACACAATAAAGGTCAGCCTGGCTCGGTTAGTCACACTCTCGCCTGCATTGTCAGAGGTGCCAACCTTCGGATGATGCTTTAAACCCAACTCCGTTTAAGAATCTCTTCTCTTTTTGAATAGCGTTGTGGGATTGATAACGCCCCTGTACAGGCAGACAGGACCTCGGTGTATATGTGTAAAGACCCAGGGCTTCAAATTCGAGTGCGTGAACATCGGCAGAGCTCATTATAGGATGGCTCCTGTGACTTAAGCAAATCATCTCACCAGCGAGAAAAACGCTCCTCGAATAGATAACTCGTGTTTAACGACCTAACCAAATATCACAAGCTGTGTTTTTCTTTTCCCCGATTAATAGTCAAGTGAACATCTGGGGCACGGTGCACTCTGCGCTGCTTGTGTTCTGACAGCCCATCGCACTAAGAGATTAAGGTTGTTTTGATGGGGAGCGCAGTCACTAAGTTGGCTGCAGTGTGATGGGGAACAGGCCAGCACTGATAGTCTTTCTCACAAGACTTGACACTTCCCAGCTGCCTCTGTCCTCTGACCCACACCCATCAGCATTGGTTGCTGTGTTTTGCCAACAAAATACACAGTCAATTAACTTTACAGTATATTCTGTGAAGCGCTTTGAGACAAAGATGTGATAAGGGGGCTGTATCAAATGCATGGGTAATTATTATTCAACTCCACAACTTGGCCTCCATCTCAAAAATCCCTGTTGCGTATCTGCAGGTTCTGGGATGTTTCAGTCTCCTGCGGTCAGTTTGAGTAATATCTTTTGACGAGCTGGGCTGCGTTCTTTAGACGGGGATGTAAGCAGAACCTGGCAGGCAGGAAATGACTAACACTGCCTTTATGTACTGTTGGGATTTGAGATGTTTTTTGCTCCCATTAGTGGAGCCAGATGGAGCCGAGGGCTGGGTTTAAACATTGTGCACTCCACTTACTTTGCTTTCAATTTGGATGGAACCTCATCTCTGTCCGCATTTCCTTGCTCCATCTCCTCTCTTTTCCTAGTCACTACAAATGATAATGGGTACAGGGAAGGTTGTGGGGGGGGGGGATGGAAGGAGCCTGTAGTGCATTGGTAAGAGCACGGACCTTGTAAGCGAGAGGACCTGGATTTGATTCCCAAGCTGGGCGATACCTTGGGCAAGTTTCCTTACTCCACACGTCTCTGTTTACCTAAGTAAGAACTCGGTTGTTAAGTCAATTGGCGGATCGCTTTCCGGGGGTAATAATCCCTTCGAAAAAAATAATAATAATTTGGTCACTCAATCCACAACTGTTTGTGGGATTCTGCTGTGCGTAAGACTGCCACATTTCACCCACAAAATATAGTCAATAGACTTTACAGTATGTTCTGTGAAGTGCTTTGAGACGTCTCAACAGAGTGCTGAGGTGCTGCATGAAATGTAAGTATTATTACTATTGGGAGATTAAGAGGGAGGAATCAATTTGGAATGGTGTGCATATATGTATGTGGGGAGGAATGTGACATCTCGACAAACGAGGCCAAGTTTGAGAAATTTCTAACTAGAATCTGAATTCCTGCTTTGAAATCAATCCAGAAGCTGATCATTTATCATATTTCCTGTGGCTTTAAAATCACTAGGATGCCAGCAGCCTGTAGCACATAGATTGATCACCAGGACTTGATTTGCGATGCATGTACACAGAAACCTCAATGACTATTTCACCACTGGACGCTACGTGCAAACTCCACAGCTAATGTATAGGATATATCCAAAGTGGCATAAAGGGCAGGATATCACAATAAGTCTACAACTTTAAAGGCTGTGTCTTGATGGTTTGACTCCTATTTCCTTGAATTATGAAGTGCAGGGTTTTATCTCCTGTTATTCCAACATGTGGCCAAGTTTCTTCCAAGCAGGTTAAGCTGACCAGATTACCTTGTTTGACCAGGACACTAGAGATTCATTGATCCTTTAAACGTTTCAGTTCCAATGCTATTATGACGGATGGTTTTTTGTTATTGGCTGGGTGTCTGACACACACGGAAACCCAGCACCAGGCTTAAGCCTTCAAACTCCCAGCCACTGCTATTAACGAGATTCTTGTGTGTTGGCTGGAGAACATTTAGCCACAAGACCAGAGCGGTGGTGGTGGGTGGGGGGGTGAAGACTTTAGGATTTGGTTGGCATCAATGGATTTGTTACCTTGGTAGCTAAGTAATATTGGTAATCAATATGGCTAGTCTGGTTCTCTGCAACTCCGTTCCGGAGTGTCTCTGATATCTAACCTCCCACTTTCAGACTATGCTTTCAGTCACCTCCCTCCCCCCCGGGGCTTGGATGCATTTCGAGAAATTCTCCTGATGGGAAAGGAAGGCGCTCTGTAAATCCTATTGTGTTGGTATCAAGGTAAATGGTGACTAATAAGTGCTTCTCACCTTCAGAATTAATTTTAAATAGACCGGCACACACAGAGAGAGAGCAACAAACACCAGACACACGCCCCACCTTGAGGCTTGACTATGCAAACTCATTGCTTGTCGGCCTCCCCAAGTCCTCCCTCCACAGGCTGCAGATCATCCGGAACTCTGCACCCCGTCTTCTCCCGCACCAGGCTCCGTGACCCCATCACCCCACATCCTCGCCCAACTCCACTGGCTTCCCATCACACAGAGGATACAGAGGATGCTCCCCACTAATATGCTCACTCCCTCCACTCAGCGGGCTCTGGCCTGCTTCACGTCCCCCGCCTTGCTCGCCCCACTATTAGCAGGCAGGCCTTCTGCCCCTCTGCTCCCAACCTCTGGAATTCCATCCCGCAGTCCCTCCGCCTCACCCCCTCCCTTGCCTCCTTCAAGATCCATCTCAAGACCCTCCTCTTCGATTGTGCTTTCCATCTCCCTCTTCCCCTCACCCCCTCCCCTCCACCCTCCCCGAACCTGGGTCCAAAACTCTGTCTGTCCAGCGTCTTGGGACGTCTTCCTGACGTAAAAGGCGCTATACAAATGTAATTTTGTTGTTGTTATTTTGTGTTTATGTCTTCTTACTTGTCAGTAAGGCTCAGTTCCTAGCACTTCTGCCTCTGGTTTAGAAAACTAGGAGTTAAAATTCCCAGTAGAGGGCCCAGGAGCAGAAACTCTAGCTGGGTTTCCACTTCCTAACCCTGGGAAGACCACAAGCAATTTAGTCTCTCCAGCTGAGACCAGCAAACAAATCGGCATCTCTGTCCACTGCACCATCGGGGCTGCCCTAGATGAGTTCTTAACCAGAGCTGATAATTAGGTGGGATCTCATGACCGGGAGTTCTCCTGGTGTTCCACGTTCCAGGACAGGAGTGGGTTGCAATGTTCCTCACTGCCAAGTAACCCGTTTCTCACTTAAAAACATTGGCCACTTGGGCAACGTATTGGGAGGGCAGGTAGTATCTGTGAATCTTATCACAAGAGGTTCAGATGAAGATGACCCCTTGATCCATTTACCAGAATACCTAACATGTTATCTTTCCATTGCAGCATCAGTTTTATGTCAGGCAAGGTCATCAATATATTCATTAAAGGGCACTTAGGACACTTGCCACTGCTGTGCTGTTGACACAGCTGTCCTGAAGCTGTCAGCCGACTGTACCGTCCTCCCAAGCCATTCTTTCAATGAGTTCGGAGTAATCACTAAATTAAAAAAGTGGTCAAGCCTGGACGAATGCAGAAATTTTCTGAACTTGTAAAAAATTGTTCTCTCACGACAAGAAACAAGTAAAATCACAGCACGTGGCTGATCAGGAAACTGTTCCAAGATTGTGCCCAGAACATTGATTGCACTTTGGTATTCATGCAATAAATGTATTACCACAGGATGGCGTTCTAGGAACATTTTTCTTTTAAGGCCTCTTTCCAGGCAGAAATCAGAACTTTGTTATAGTGTACAGTATTGCACTTTTCTTACCCGCTCTTCTGCTGAAGGCAGTGACACATGCTGGGTTGTAGTTCTATAGCTTTTGGCTGTACTCCACACCTCACTCAGTAGCACTCAAGAGTTAGAAGGTTTTGAGTTCAAAGCCCGTGTTGGGACTTTGAGCTCATAGTCCAGGCCGACACTCCAATGCGCTACAGGACTCCACAAATGATGGGACAGCAAAACCTTTGTTCGGGCGTCAAAATAACCACAAAAAGTGCAAACAATATAGGAACAAATTTTATTCCAATTTCAAACAGAGAATTTCAGGATAAGGATATGAAAATCAAGTCCATGTCTCCATGAGGGTCCAAGCAACAGAGTTCAAATGAAACTATTACAAAATTATGGCCGAAAAATACTATTAATAACCAGTAAGACCCTTTTGTGGATGAATTATTATACAAGATTTTTTTTCTCTTTTTCAAAAACTATGCCCCTCCCAAACAACAATACATGCAATAAAATGACAATTTTAAAAACAGCAGTTATAGCTCTTAAATAGTTGAAAGTTTCCTCTTATCAGGACCTAAGATACAAGTCCAACCTAAATTTCCACCACATTGGCACTTGTAGAGAGTCTGGCACTACAAAGAATGGACTTGGCACACTTTTAATTCATTATTCTACATAATTTACATTTGGTTTACCTTTTTTTTAAAAAAAAAATCAGTGAAAGATCAGTAATACATATTTGAGTTCAATAACACACCACTGTGGATGACTGCCATGCTTCAGGTTTCTTCAAAAGGTTACAAGCATAAGTACAAGACAAAATATGAACTTTGATTATCCCAAATGGACGCTGAAATGTTACCATCCCAGACCCATTGCTGAACTTGGCATGAAGGCAGGACAGCTACAGAGGTATAATATTCATTCTACACACAATCTTACTAAAGCTCAGGATGACTGTTCAGCTCAAAATACTTTGCTTCCACCTACTGGATAGGCTCATTTTTCCACATGATGCTCTCTCAGTACCTTGCTTACATCTTAAGGATTCTAATAACCCAGCACGTCAAGCCATACAAGTCCTGACTGTGTCTGAGCAATTATTATTCTGGATTGGTTGCTCCCACCCTCTCCCCTGCCTGAAATTCATCACACCCCCCACCCCACTCCCCCCCACCCCATGAGCTGTACCGGAAAATTTGGAAACATTTCAGGGACAGAAGACAAACGCAAGCTTTCTATGACTTTATTCGCTTGCTTGGAAAGTAAAACAGTCAATGCAACTTTTTACCCTCAAGTTTAGGAGATGTGAAGGAATGGATGTTGGATTCATTTAGGTGCAAATATCAAATCGAGATAATCCGCTTATCTTTCCTTAAAAAAAACACTTGTGCAAGTCGCTGATACTTTGGGCTTAGGGCCAGACATTCTAGTTATTTTAAAAAAGGCATTTTAAGAATAGGATTTTCGTTGCCAAACTAATTTTTATTGTTTCCTGACGATATAATTAATTCAGTGATGAGGTAATTTAGATGAAGAGCAAATCGTTTTCGTAATAATGTTATAGCCCAATAATTCTGGAGAAGGTATCATAAAATATGGTTTATGAATCTCATCTCTATTTTACAGTCGCGCCTTTTGATTAAAACTCCAGCAAAATCTAGGGCAGCATTGTACTCCTACAAACGGAGCATACAAGTACACAAAGCTCAACTTGTTCCCCCATATTTTACAGTCCTAGAAAAGGATCGCAGATAGATGTCTTTAGAAACCTATCCCCAGGTCGTACAAATGATTAGCCGACTTGCACATCTCCCAGATTTTACATAAATAGGACAAACCCTCTTCTACTGCTCACACTAGGATATCAAAGATGCAGCAATATTTGACCTTGCTAGATTCAGCTCATTACTCACAACTCGCACACAACCCAAATTTCCTTCTCCATTCTGAGAATATTTACAGGACAGAAGCTCGTGAAAGTTCAAGCTATGTGGAAAAATTGCCTAGGCAGGTTTCAATACTGTAGAACAGATAGCCAGGAAGGTCACTACATCAATGCAATCGCTATTACGCAAATACCAATAAAATCAAGAAGCTTTTCGAGTCCTCCACAAGGATACAAATCAAAAAATAAAATAGGATTCCTGACAAAAGCTTGGTCCCCTGGTTAAAATACAATACAAAGAGGCAATTCCCATTTTTTTTTTCACTTTCCTATATCAAGCAAGCATACGTTACATATATTTTATACATTTTTTGCAACTCTGGGTAAAAGTTAGAACTAACCTACCACCATCATCATTTGGTAAATTTATTTCTCTCCCTGCTCCGGGACCCACATTCACAAAAAAATGTGCAAAAAGTGTTTGTGTAAATTGGAGTCCCGATGCTATGGATTGTGTAAAAGTTTCAGATTACAGATCCACGTTTCCGTCAACACAAGTGTGCGAAACATACTGGACACTGCACAAAGCCCAGGGCAAGATATGGTTCACCCAGTATCTATTAAAAGTTGAATTGTAGTGTGTTTATCGCCTTTACTCCAGAGGATAGAGAAACCACCGTTTATTTTTGGGAAACTCAACTTGGATGGCAAAGGGTATTTAAAGTGAATCAAAATCTTATTTACACAGGCAGATAGATCAGCTTCAAAGTCAAATCAGACTAGACTTTTATCTTGCTCCTGAAAAATAATCGGTGCTTTGTTTACACTCGAATACGCTGGATGGTGTTGGTCGCCATGTGCACTTCAGTATAACATTCATAGTCTTTGACTGGCTAATGTGGCTAAAGAGTAATGTGTTGAGATTGAAATACTACAAGGTCCTGCAATAAACCAGCACATCACTACCAGTGTAAACAGACTCCAGGATTAAAAACGTAGTCAGTTTTCAAGGGGATGTGGGGTGGAGGCGAAGGGGAGGGTGGGTTGAGGGGGGGAATAGATAACCACTGATCAGAATCATGCATCCAAAAGATTTCCAACAGTTAACAGCATAAAATCACTTAGTGTCTTAAATAGTTGGGAGGATATAATTAGCATTAAAAATAGTGTTAGGATTAGTGACTGAAATGGCACATCTGAACAATTTGGTTTCCAGAATCTCTCTAGCTCTCATGTCTCACCATGATAACTGCTTCAGCTTGGCCAAAACCACAATCTCTCGCCAAGAGACACCCACCAACAATGCTCGAAACTTGCAACAAGTCCAATTGTGAGCACAATGCCACTACTCACCATCTGCTTCTGCAAAGCCCCACTTATCTGCGAGCTTTTGGACTCTTGAAACTGGTTTATCAATTATCTTTGAGGAAAGCAGTAGTTTCTAAGTAGCACTGTAAATTACATCTTTCTCTGGAATAACTTTAGCTGAAGACCGATTGTGGCTTGAGACAACACGTCGGAAACTCGTGGGAAAGGCTTACACAGTATTCCTACTTGAGGACATGTCCCTAATTGTTGCGATTATTCACAGCAGCTTTATTTACAACCGAGGGAAAGCTTTCATATTGCTCGTATGCAGTGTAAGCAAAGAGTTGCTCCACAAAATGATTCCTTTGAGGCATTGCGTTCAACGCCTTGTTAACCTGGAAACAACATTCAGTGTTGCTGGATCTGTTTTTTTTAACCTTACTGGAAGCTGTAACTCTTTTATTTTTAACTAAAAAAAACTTGTGACATTTTGGTCCTGACCTGCAATTACAAAGGCATTTTCTTTCATTGGTTGTGAAGCAAAAATTCTTATCAGAAGTGAGACACTGTAAGTGGGGGTAGGGGAAGAGAGAGGATCAATGGCTGATAACTTTTGCTGCAGCCCTAAGGTAAAACTTAAACCTGTGCATTGTAATTCACTTCAGGATTCGGTAAGGCACTCTGCTTACCTCATTGCCAGGGTATTTATCACAGATATACCCCCCACCCCAATTCAAGATTGTTTTGGCGATCATCAGGACTGGAGGGGAATGGCTGGAGTGTTTTCCTAATGGTTTGTAGTGTATAGAACATTTAACAGGTCGCAACAACAGCCTAGGGAAGCCGAGAGAACAAAACAAATTCAAAAATCTTCGCAAAACTTACTCAAAGTTCTCCTCCGTTCAATTAATCAGCTTTACCCGACAATGAAGGCATTCTAAATGAAGTCAAACACAGACTGGTGAAATGAGCTGCCACAATTACAAACCCCTTTAAACATTTGCTTTGGAGTGTACAACTTACTTAAAAACCTTTGCCCAAAGGGCATCAATACAGGAGTTAACTGCACGAGTATTAATTCCATGCTACCCTCATTCTTTACACAGATAAGGCAATACTTCTGAACAACCAATTTTACAAACCCCCTTTTCAGAAAAGGTGGCTGTAATTATATTCCATGAAATTTAAGAGATTATACTGCTGCTAACAAAAGAACACAAAAAGTCTATATTTCAGTGTACCATTGGATTTGGGGATTCAATTATATTAATTTCATTTTAATTTTCTGATACTGAAGAAACTCTTTGCTGCTGCAAGTTTGAACCAGCATCTGCCAATCAAATCCTCAACACGTAGAATCTAATTTAATTGAAATCTTGCTTTTAGTTAACATAGACAGACTACTGTGTCACCAAGAGGAAACCTATCTATCTGTGAATAAGAGGTGCCTTTTATGCCATGACTCATCTTCATCACAACACAACTTCACGATTGACGAAATCCACTGTCGACCAAGTTTGAGTACTAACAATCCAACGAAGATGACTTTGTTCTGAAATGGCAGTGTAATAGTACCCTCCCACCATTAGAAACCACAATAGCAAATGTTAGCTTGTGAAACTTTAAACCAGTCAGAGATGTTTCAGCAAGTCAACTTTTCATTCAAACTCATTTCAACAAGATCAGAGGTTAATAACCTGGTGCAGTAGGAAAACTGCTGTTTGCTGTAACCCAAATGCTGGACTGGTCTAATCTACACCAGTCAGTCCACAGGGAGGATCCATTCGCAATGAATCAAGAATGATTATGGAGCCCTTGAGTTGGAAGGTGCCCAGAGCAAGCTACAGGGCGCCTTCTGCTGGCCAAGTCCTTAACAGCTACGGAGATAACAAGGGAAGTCAGGCCTGTATGAATGACTACGCTCCCAATTTGAGCAGACGAACATGATGCCTTGAATGCAGAAACAAATTCCAACATACAAACCTACTCTTGAACTTGCCTCCTTCCCTCCTGCAATATCACAACGAGTGGGTGGGTGAGATAAAGCATCTTTACAGGAAAGGCTGATGTGAACCTCACCCTAAGCTGTCCTCCTATGAATTTGTTGAAGCTGGAAGTTTGAAACATAAGGTACAGTATACTTATGGCACTGTGCAGCACTTATAAAAAGCCACCTTTATATCTTTGTACTGAGAAATCACACAAACTAGATTGTATAGTGCAACTTTCTTGGCACCTGCATTCTTATAAACATAGACTGACCTTTTCTTTTCTAACAGGCCTGACATCATACCCACAAATATATAAAAAAAAATCTGTAAAAGTACCTGACTGCAATAAAACTATCCTTCCAATACAAACGGCCAGGTTTAAACCCCCTCTCTCACTCACATCAGATTAAAGTAAGTACAAATGAACCAACTCTCAACTTAAGTTTAGCAAGTCATGAATAAAAAAAAACGTGCATAACTTGCCACTGTAGTGTACAGCAGTTAAAACAAAATCAAAGTTTGGCAACAGTTGAATATCTGTAAAACAAACTGGTACATACAAATTCTCATCTGAAATCAAACTTAGGTACTGGTCCATAAATTAGATAAATACACTCATTTCTTTATGCTAGATTCGGCTTCATTTGTTTGCCAAGTAATCATTATTTCCACATCTCAGGTTCCTAAATACTTGAGCAACTCCCCTTCCCATGATATTCACTCAACTCTCTATTGCTTGATGAGCTCCCCTCTTTGTAGTTCACGGCTGAAGTACAGCAAGTAGCAAACTATGTATAACGTCAATAATTTATTTTAAAAAATCAAAAAATAAAAATAAAAATCACAGTATCAATACTTTTCTCATTGATCAGGAAAACAGAACACAAAAAAAAACCAGAAACAGTACATCAATAATGCAAGTAATGGCTTGGTTTCTGTCAAGACAACATCCGAAAACAATCACCACTGTGCACCACAGAACAGATCTGAGAGCAGACAGCAGAAGGCCAGCATGAACAAAGAGAGCACATTGACAGGATGGTATTATATTTTGGTAAGTGGAAGAACACTTGCTATTCTTCATTTGTACAAGCATTAAGAGATCGTAGTCCAAACTAACTATCTGTTATACAGCTAGTCATTAAGTGACGTTTGGGGAAAAAAATAATGGAAATGTAGATTGGCACCGAAAAAGATGCACATTAAAAATGTCGCCCCCTCGCCCCCACCTCAGCACTGTTGAATAAAACCATTGTTGTTTTGAAAGAAGCTACAACTCTGTGCGCACACACACACAGACAAGAATCCAGGATGACAATTAGCAGTTTGCAAACTTCACAGATCATAACAATTTGCGGTCATTAAAGTTTAAATTTTCATTTCTCCTTTTGTTTTTTTTGTGCCTAGGCTAGATCAGACCAGGTTGTACTCCTTCAGATTGAGTTGTAGGATTGTATCTTTGACAGCCGCAAAGACAAACCGTATGTTCTCTGTGTCTGTTGCACATGTGAAGTGAGAGTAGATGATTTTGTCACTGTCTGGGTTCAGGTCTACGAACATCTTCAGAATGAATTCTCTGGCAGCTTGTGCATCCCTCTGTGGACCTGTCAACAGAAAGCAAATAGGGGCAATCTTTTTTATGTCTAGTTGTACTGAATTACTAAGCACAGAGTCAATATATTGCCTTTTATCAATATCGTTGAACGTTGTTGAGTTTTCCATTTCAGAAGTTTTGCTAACGTAATCGGTGTCTTAATAATAATCCTTGTACTCAATATAGTTCCTATATTAATAAATCGATTCAGATACCTTTCCTGTAAGAATATTCTATGAAGCACTTTGAGACGTGTCAAAGACACTATATGAAATGCAAGGAATATTATTATTAAAGCCTAGACACAATTTACAGAATGAGATTAATTAGAAATGTAGGGAACATTGCGGAGGCAAAAAACCTTTGGTAACATCCTACAAACAATGAAAAGCCAATTAATTAGGATTTTTGAATTGAATTTGGACGAGGATAAACTCAAGACAAGAGGGCAATAGCTTTCGGTTTTACTATACTGTATACTTGCCTCAAACATTTCCCCAATGATCGATAGCAGATTGTTTAATAAAGCGAATGCAATAGTGTCACAGTTAAAAACAGCCTGTGTTAAGGGCATGAAGCGTTGCACAATTACTGTGAGAAAAAACAACCACACCCATATGTTGTTAAACATTCTGATAGCAGAAGGCAATCATAGCATGTAATCTAATCTTGGGGTTACAAGAGAAGTGTTGTATTGCTCGAGTTTCAGTGTTGTAATTTATGTCATCCCTTTTAAGGCCTTCAATTACTCTTAGGTACCCACTATTTCAGTAGGCAACATTAACTTGGGTTTCGCAAAACCATTAATATATTGGACTGACCGATTTAAAAGGCAAGGGCCTTTTTTCTCTCTCCAGTGAAGTGCAAGTGCAGTGAACTGGCATGCTCAGGTTAACGGTATTTACATTCAATGTTACCACAAAGAAAACTGGGGACCAACTTCAGGGCTTTGGGACGTCCTCCAGATGTGAAAGGTGCTTTACAACTGTAATTTGTTGTTGTTCAGGAAAGCGAAAGTTGGGATATACTGGGAGTTGACCAGTGTTCAAGTAATCTGGCCACCATGGTTTCCTCACTCATTGGTTCAAATATCTCCAGAACTGCACAATTCAGATAGTAATTTGGGTCCTGAAGAGATATCTACCACCATTTCCATCATATTCGCCGAAGGATTTAGTCATGCACATCAATTTCTTTTTGTTTACTGTATGAACCCATATATGAAAACAAATACATCAACAGATGGAAACTAAATCTTCCATCACGAACCCTTGGAAAAAAGCTTATAGCATAAAAGGCAATATGACACACCCACTCCTGGGGCATCTCCTTCATCACTCATGCATGTACAAATAAAGAAATTGGTCAGAAGCAGGAACAAAATGATGTATTCTATTGCACAAAGAACCAAGAAAAGGAAGGGTGTGTGTGTGTGAGAGAGAGATTTATTTTTGCTCTGACATAAAAGAAATGGTGGGGGGGGGGGGGGGGAGAGAGAGAGAGATGATAAGGCCCCAAACTGTCCTGAACGAATTCTAATGAACTAGGTTTTGGAAAGTCAGACCAATTCACCTCATGTTCAACAGTGCCTCAGATGTGAAGTGGCTAGTGTCATGACGGCATAGAACAAATGCAGTCAAACCAGAAGTTTTGATCTGTAATAGAAGTGTCAAATCCAAAGCCTTATCAATTGAAACCCAAGCCTTCATTAGTAACGTGGTAAACTTGCTGAGCAGAAATACTGTTCTCTGGAACACTATCCTGCATGAGGGGCGCTATATATCAGCAAGCTATTATTATTCAGTCTTACTACTGATGTTTCCATAGCCTACATTGGCAGGTTTATCAGTGTGCTAGTGCTGTTCTCTGCTGTTTTCTTCCCTTCAGCACAATAGAGGCTAAGCATTTAGGTTTTGCAAGTTGAAGACTGTAACTTTCTTATTCAGGTCCACTGAGATTTTCCACGCAACTCTCTCAACCCATGAATATGGAACTAGCAATGCAACATACTCACCATCAAACTCTGGAAAGTAGTCAACCAAATGGGAATACATAATCTTTTCTTCCAGCAGATCCTTCTTATTTAAGAACAGGATGACGGAGGAGTTCTGGAACCAGGGATATGTAATTATCGTCCTAAATAGTGCTTTGCTCTCCTCCATTCGATTCTGAAAAGATACAATTATTGAAATAAACGTGGAGAAGCACACCATAATAATTTGGCAAAAAACAAATCATAGTTAGGATTTTGAATGGCTCCACTGGTTTCCTATCACCGAACGGATCAATTTCAAGATCCTCATACTCGTTTTCAAATCCATTCATGCCCTGGCACTTCCCTACCTCTACAAATTAAAATCTCTTTTGCACAGCATTTTGGAAAAATCTCTCAGATCAAGATTTCTCCCCAAAGTACTGCAGCATTAAGTACTGCAGCAAATACAACCATGGGAATAGGTTTTAAGAATGATTAAAAGCATTCTTAATTTATTAGCATTATCACAATCCAATGCTGCTTGTTTCATAATAATTTGTTTTCATAAACTAACATTGAACTAATTTGTAAACTAAAATGTTTGGACAATCACAAACGTGCCTCCAATACAACGCAACAACAACCACAACAAGATTACATTTGTAAAGTACCTTTCATGTCGGGGGAAAGTCCTGAGGCACTGAACAGTCAGGGATCAGGACCCGAGCGTGGGAGGGGGTATGGGGTGGGCAGAATTGCGCTGAGGGAGGGTAGAGAGGTAGGAGGGCAGCTGAAGTAAACACAGTTTAAAAACACACGCACCTCGTTATCAGATTCCACTAGAACCTGATCGTATTCACTAAGAGCTACTAAAAACATGATGGATGTCACGTTTTCAAAGCAATGGATCCATTTTCTTCTCTCGGATCGCTGCCCTCCAACATCCACCATTCTAGGAGGAAATATATTGCGCACTGAAATTATACAGTACTCTGCAGTCAAAAACATAGTTATTACACATCAAGATCCTACAACACATTTTTTAAAAAAACCATGCGCACATATATTTTATCCAACAAATGGCAATTGATCATTTTTTTTTAAATTGTGGGCTAAGCTGTGGGAATGTGACCTATTTATTCACACCTCTTCTCAGTTCTCTTTTGCTAAGGATCAGAGAAAATAATTTAACTCTGTTTGTCACAAAGAAACAAATGCCGTGCTAAAATTCTCTACCCAAAGTAAAATTGCAACTAGAATTTGTCCAAAATCTTCACAGCCAAACAGTAAAGGGAGAAGGGTGTTAAGAGTCACAGAGCAACGGAATTTCAGTAGTAGAATGCGTCTTTTTCTTTTCAACAAAAAAGTTCTGCAAGCAGTTTATTTTAATCCCTGGTGCCTCATAACTGGCAGCTTACTCGTTTGACAAATGATGTCCTGTGGAGGTAGACCAAAATAACACTCCTGTAAACTGAACAACCTCATTTCATGTTGAGATCTGACCTACTTCTCCACACTATGGGTAATTGCTCACTAGTTTAGCGAAACTTCAGCAAAGAACTTTATCACATTCAATTCCAATTTTCTAATCTGTTCAGATTGATGTTTAATTTTTTGTGGGGGGGAAAAAAATCAATTTCATCAACAACATTGCTTCCAATAAACTGCTTCTATTTATATTGAAAAAAAGGAAAAAATATCATTAGTCTCCTTTGAGGTTTTAGGTTGAATTGATGGGTCTTGATTGAGTCCTTCATTTAATTTAATCCCTTTAAAAATAAAGCAGTAATAGTGCTTTCAGGAAAAATGTAGAAATATGAATGCAATAGACGTAAAATAGTTTTTGATAACTTCCTTCTACCTGAAGATGATGCTTTGTAAGTCAAAGGGGTATTCAATGATCCCTGTTGTTGGGATTCGAACTCGAAGGACATCCTGTTGAGTTGGTAGATAGGCAGGTTCCGATATACGATCCAAATCACTAAGATAGCTACAAACAAGAGAAACACAACAGGAACAAAAATATGTGTGAATCCCCAAAGCCAAATTTCCTGCTTGCCTACAAACCCTGCTATGTGGTCTGGGACACTACCCTGCGTGAGGGACACTATATAAATGCAAGTTGTCGTTGTTATGCAGGTGAATTTTCAGTGCAATTTGAGGGAAAGAACCGGGATACCAAGCGACCTTCAGATCTCATTGAGTTGACCAGTTATTTTCTAGGATACAGTTAAGCCTTCTCTAAGGACGGATGTTCTATACTTTTATTTCACCTGCAGTCATGTAATGCATCACTGCTGACAGTAGTGGGTCAATACAAGATAACAACCAAAGCAGTTTTGTTTCAATTTGGAAACTGCATTTCTCAAATATTTTCTTCCGCATAGGAAGTACATTTTCATTTAACCAGAAAATTAGATAGATATATAATATATATATATATGTGTTGCAGTTTGCAGACACCCAACACCGCTCCCGTTCATTCTTCAGCACATGCTGGCCATGGTGCTTCACATTTGATTTCCAGCCAATATTTCAAGACAAATTTTAACATTTATAATAAAATAGGACTGATGCCAAAACAGTTTGATCTCTTTCCGGGGGAAATAATCCCTTCAAAAAAAAAAGGCACTGAATCCATGACTGTTTGTGGGATATTGTTATGCACAATTGGCTGCTGCGTTTCGCCATAAAATAGTCAATTCACTTTACAGTATATTCTGTGAAGCACTTTGAGATGTCTCATCGAGGTGATAAGGCACTATATCAAATGCACGGACTATTATTATCATTACCATAACACCACAATGTTCCCTTTACAGTTATATCAGCTGAAATGAGCAAATTCCTGCACATCCAAAAGTTATCTTCAAATGAATACTGCAGGAGTCACAAGTTCTAGTTCCAGGTACCGAAGAGGCTCCAAACAAGCCGCGTACTTACTATTTTGCAGAATCCGACAACTGATATTCTCGCCTTCGGTCGTAGCATTCTTGTATCCCTGGATCACTCCATAGAGACTTTATTGCAACTACATATATACTTTCAAATGATGATACTTTTTCTACATCAATCTCCCGAAGCAATTGAGCATTGGGCTGTAAATAAAAACAAATATCGTTGGCAAGAGGTCTGTACACGAAAGTCACACAAAGCAAGCGTCATGCATTAAAATACTATATCTTAGCTTTCATATCTTGTTGAGTTTTCTTTCAGATTAGTTTCTCACTTCCACATTTAATGAATAAAATAAAGGTGTCAGCAAGGATTTGAATAGCTATTATTATATTATTAGCTGAGTCATATTCATGTTTAGATGAATGATTTATTGCTAAATCCAGTAAATTACCAAAAAAGGTATAAAAGAATAGTTTGATGAAATAGTTTGATGAAGAATAGAATAATGAAAATGTCCCTTGAGCTCATGTGATCTTATCCTTCACACCAACTAGTCTTCCCATTGTTTCATCTAGCTTCTTCTTAATCAAGTCAGGTTCCCTGGCTTAAACCACCTTTTCTGGTCATGTATTCCAGACTGGTTGCTTGCAAGAGCAAAAATATTTCCAAGTGTAACCCTAAGCTTATCCTTCACAACTATGAACCATATCTGAAAATAGTTTTATAGCTTCATTAATTCTGCGGAGTCCTGTAGTGTAGTGGTTAGAGCACTCGCCTCGCAAGCGAGAGGACCTGGGTTCGAGTGAAACGTTAAGCAAGTTTCCTTATTCCCCACGCCTGTTTACCTAGCAGTAACTAGGAACTTGGTTGTTAGTTGATTGGCAGATCGCTTTTCCAAGGGTAATAATTCCTTAAAAATAATAATTTGGTCACTCAATCCACAACTGTTCGCAATTGGCTGCTACGTTTCACCCACAAAATATACAGTCAATTCACTTTACAGCATATTGTGTGAAGACACGTTTTGAGACATTGTGAAAACATGATAAAGCGCTATATCAAATGCAAGGATTATTATTATTACTATTATCTCTTTCAGTACCATATGCATGTAACTCTATAGAATAAGGTCCCTCTGAGGTCTTAAACTTTAACCACACGTCTATAGAAGAGTTTGCTTATTTGAGAGATAAAATTCAATTATTATTGTTAACTTGTTGGCATGGTCAAAGTGCAAACCTAGTTAAATTAGAAACATTAGTTACATCCATGATTACTCACAGAAAGCATTTCCTATTCCAATTGTAAAGCCAGGTTATTCACCCCAATAGAAGCCAGGTATTTTCTTCCCACAATAGAAGAGATTATTGGCACAATCTTCCAGAATTGAAATGCTTAGAATAAGACACTTATATAAGGTTGCTTGCCAACTTACCTTGTTTTGCTCATATTTGAATTGTATTTTAAGGGTATCTGCTGCTCTTATCATGGACTGCATGGCAGTGAATATATTCTGGTAGACCAGCTTTGTAAAGCCCCGCTTGTCCTCATCTGAATATCCACTTCCATGAATGATCCGCATTTGCTTGATGAATGTGCTCTTGCCACTTTCTCCAGTACCTGGAAAACAATTCAGCGTATATGCCTCAAATAGAAAGGAAAACTTGCTACAGAAAGTTGAATGCTTCATTTTTGAACTTCTCGAAACACGAATTTTTAAACTGAATGCAAAATATGAACTGAATCTTCTAAAATGGATGATTGATTAAGGAGCAGTGAACTCTAATAATGCATCAGCTTACAGGAAAAGCATGAGAAATCTGAATTTGTTGCAATTTAATATGGGACATTTGTGGTAAATATCGATGCTATACAAACTAGGAAAAGTTTCATTTATTGTTAGATTATTATATAGTCCAGAATTATGTGGAAAGTTTCACATTTTAATTCAATGGTGACAATGCTAAAAAGAGTACTGGCAAGGTACTATCAGAGACGTTATGGTATCCATCCTGTGATAAGAACCAGAAAATAGAAAAAGTCTCTCCGGTAATTTTTCAAAGATGGCAGAAACAGAGTTTGGATCTGAACAATTCCAATGAAAGGCATCTATTTATTCAGTAAACACTGTATTAGAAGGATAATGGATAATGTGATGGCCACATACATAAGCGCCCCCAAGTGTAAAAAAAGCACAAGGAAAAAGGTTCCAGATAGGAATTATTTACAGAGAGTTGTAGCCAGTTCTAGGGCTATCTTCCTTAGTCCTAGAAACAAGCTATCATGTGGCTAAATCTTTGTTGTTCAGGCAAGAATTATTATTATTAAATGGCCCATTCCAGGTTAGGCAATAGGGAGGGAAGAGGGCTTCCCTAGGAACACAGGCTTGCAGTAGGGAGTTGTCGGTAATGAACATAACTATGCTTTGCATGTGAATGAGTCTTTGTCTTCTGTTTGTCAGTGTGTCTTTCCGCCTTTCTCTCCATCATTTCCTGTCTCCTCTCCCTCTGCCTATCTCGTCTCCCTGTGGGTTTGTTCTGTCCGAGTCTCCTTGTCTTTATGCCTATTATGCTGCATGCCAGCCTCAGTCTCGTCATTGTTTTTTAGAGAGTCTTTCCTTCTAGCTTTTTTTTCACAAACAAGTTTGAGATGCTCAGTGCATTTTAACTAGAGGCCAGGTAGATCACATTTTAACAGAGCATGGTAGCCTGGGATAGCAAACTCTAGAGGATAAGGAGAACAGGGCCTGTTTATTGAATTTAATTTTCAATTTAAGTTCAATTTTCTGGACTACATTTTCAAGCACTTCACTGTGTGCTATGATAAAGCAGAGCATAGAACCATCTCAGAATTTAAATTCCATAATTTCCAAAGACGTAATGGTTTAAAGTAGTTAAAAGTACTGTAATTACTTTCGGGGGGAAATGAGAAGAAGAATTGTTAATTCATAACGTGATATACAAGTAAACTTTTCTTAGGATTATTGTGCCAACAAATTGATAGCACAAACATTTCCAGATCTTGCTTTGCTCCTCAAATTTTTATTCTGCGACAATGGTTTCAAAGGTAACTCTGCAACCTTTGAGCAAATAAAATAATGCAACATATTTTAATAGTTAATCCCGGTCCAATGGTCAAGCTGTTATCACAATGGACATGTGTTCATTATATCTGATAAAAATGCTCGAGTATCCCATTTAAATTGATCACTTACTTAAACTTATTACATGCAGCTCTGCAGTGGAAGTATCATCCTAGCATTTCCTTTTCATAATCAAATCCATTACCAACGTGCTCCTAGATTAGAAGGTACTACAGAAAAATCTTTTAGCTTGTAAATTTCTCATCATTTTTATACACTTGCCGGGAATTTTACTCATTTAATACATGGAATTATTAAATGTTTGATGCCCATGTACTCTTTCATCCGCTCCCAGATGTGAATAAGTACTATGTATACTATGTACTATGTACAATTCACAACTGACTTTTTATAATCTCTTATCTTAAATATTTTTAGTGCATCTTGACTTGTTGCAGACTTGATCATTGATAATTGATTCTAAGACCCCAACCCCCCCAAAAAGTTATAAGAACAAAGGCATTTAAGCTATTGCCTATTGTTTTTACCTCACTTTAAAGTGCATTTCCACAATGAACTGCTGCTGCACTATCACAGGAACGGAATGCGAAAAAAATCCTGCAGAGTAATTCTGTTTTCCCTCAATCTTTTAAAAATAAATTTACCAAATAAGTCAACCAGGAGTGATATTAAAGAAATGGTTTCAGTGAGATAATTTCCAAGGTTAATTTTCATAATTCACTCCAATTAGGCTATCCAATCAGATACCCTGTAATATCTAAGGCATCAAGTTATTTCGTGTATCTACATCATATATTGACAGAATGAGGGGGGGGGGGGCTTTGGTCATTGCATAATAACAACAAAAGGAAGAAAATATTGACGACTTGAAAGGAAGGCACAAAAAGTAAGCAAACAACAGGAGGACAAAATAAAAGCTAAAGACAAAATAAATCCTTATCTGACGAAGCAAATTTTTGAAAATCCCATTAGAATATGCTGATCTTCTGGGATAAGTATACCAAATGAAAATCCTGAATTAAAGCTATTTCATTAAACTACACGATGCGAGACAAAATCATCAACAGAAAGCCTCAGCAGAAAAATCACAAATAAAGCGAGCCATGGAACACTTCCATCTAAATGGATATCCTGGTGTGATTTCAAAGCAGTAAACCAATTTTAAGGTTCAAAATCACAACAGAATAGCTCAAGCAAACGTTTAACACTAACTTGAACCTGGAGATTAGATTTGTAGCATTGCTTTTTTGCTTCCCACTTCCAACTTTTCCACCGCTTCTGACGGTAAGGACTAATGCCAGGATACAATTCTATGGGCAACATCTGTCCTCTGATCCACATAACTGCTTTACGCTCTACCTGAACACAAGCCATTGGAAGAAAATCACAGCCAAGGAATCCTGGCGGATATTGTGCTGTCACTGAGAATGGCACTGTTGATGTGTTCAGTGTCACCGTCGATCACCTTTCACACTACAGGATTAATGAATATGATATCAGCAACAAGTGTTAATGAGGTCACTTGAGAGCTTTAGAAGATTCTGCATACACTGAAACAATTTCCTACGGAATTAACTAACCAAACACTGAATTATCATGTAAAGGAAAAGTCAATGAATGATGACATCACACAAAAACACCAATTCTTAATCCCATCACACAATGCCTATTATGTAACAAAGACAAATACAGCTAAAATGAGGTTACCGAATAGTAGTTTTGTTTTAAAAAGATGTATTTTGCGTGGAAAACACACCACTTTCTAATGATGCAGATAGGAATTGAAACTTGTGAGATTCTTTCAACTTAACAATTTCAAATAATGTGCAAAATAAAGTAGCAAACAATTGAAAGGGGGGCATCTTTCAAAGAGGACGTTACAGGCCATGATTCATTGTTTAGAATTTTTATTAAAGGTAACATTGCTATATTTGCTTCAATTTCCTTTGAATTGTTTTTGCATAATTACAGAGAGAAACCACCTGAGAATCACTGAGCTAAAGAGTAAAAGGGAGCTCAATTAACACACACTTGAAATGAATGTAAACTTGCTGCCGCTTAACTACCTACATTTAATTTTCTCTGTAACTCTGATAACAAGACTCCCTTTTTAGATAGTCACCAAGACTTTGGACATTACCTTAATCTTAAGAATGTGATTATAAACACTCCGAGCCACTATTCGCGTGAATGGCACTATTTAACGCAATGTTTAGTTAGGAGTCCTGTAGCTCAGCACTCGCCTTGCAAGCGAGAGACCTGGGTTCAATCCCAGGTAAGGCCAAACCTTGGGCGAATTTCCTTACTCCACACACCTAATAATAATCCCTCCAAAACAAAACAATAATAAATCGGTTATTTTCAATCCACGACTGTTCGTGGGACACTCACTGCGGTGTGCAATTGGCTGCCGCATTTCGCCCTCAAATATACAGTCAATTCACTTTACAGTCTATTCTGTGAAGCGCTTTGAGACGTCGAGAAGACATGAAAAGCGCTATATCAAATGCAAGGATTATTATTATTTATCATTATGTCCAAAATAGAAAAACAGGATCGACTGCATATTTTACATGTACATAAAAATGTGGTTATATGGGTTTTTGCTCTTCGACCGCATAATTTTCTACAAGGCAATCCTACACGGTTCAACGCAATGCTACAGCTGTCAGCTGAACCTGCACTATACTAAACATTCATCATCTATATTTCTTCCCAGCTGCAATCCAGCTGCTCTTAGTATAACAGTCACATTTTACTGGTATTAAAAGAAATTCCCATCAGCTCTTTACAAGGAAAGCAACATCTCAGATGGATATAAAGATATTACGATGTTAATCAAAATGAGAAGGTCGTTTCTTCTGGTATGTCCAACGATTCTTTAACTACATTGTAAGCATTAAAACAGAGTCAGTTAAATATAATTTTTAAACGCATAATAAACACCACAAATTGATTCTGCTCAGTGAATACAGCTTCCTACAGAGAGAATAATGGATCCCCCAGAAAGTATAAAACAATATTCTTACCACAGAATTCTGAAAACAGCATAAGCATAAGGTTGAAATGTTTTGAACATGTGATAAAGCACTATAACCAATGCAAGGATTAATATAAACCACAATAGCTTCCAATTCACCTGACCAGAGACTAGATTACAACCTTAAAATCATTCTACTGCACTCAATTTACAGTGTGTATGAGCTTCATTTTACACTGCAATTCTATATGGTTATTAGTCCAGTAATAATTTATTCTGATAATTTATTCCATGTTTTCGATGTGGCGCATAAATAATGTTCATAAAATGCTTAAAATTATAATAATAATTCTTGCATTTGATATAGCGCCTTGTCACAAGAGACCCTCCTCTTTGACCCTGCCCTCCACCCTCTCCAATCCTGACCCCCCACCCCTCCATCACCCAACCCCCGGGTCCGAAATACTGACTGTCTAGCGCCTTGGGACATCCTCCCGAAGTGAAAGGTGCTATATTAGATTATTATATTTGCTCTTG